GAGGATGATAGTGGACGCGTCGAGGAGACGCGTAAAGTGGGTGGGGTGGTAACAGACTTTTGGAACCCCACTGTATCTCGGGTCGGTTGGCGTGGGTGACGGTCATCCGCGCCAGCGGATGACCGATACGACGCCTCTGAATACCCCCGTCTTTGGGCGCGCTGCCGCCCTGACTTTCCTGGGCTTGGCTGGCCCGGATGACCAGCGAATTGGGCGGAAATAAGCGGCTTTCCTCAGGGCTAGCCATACTAGCGTTGCGTTGTCTCCCTCCCTCCGCCCCAATCTTCCCCCCTCCCCACCCTACACTCTGATACGCGCGCCGGCGCGTAAGAAACCGAGCTGCACCTGCGCCTTTAGCTTCGTTCACGTCACTCCTACCACTACCACCATTACTAATGCCATCACCACCACTACCACTACCACCACCACCATTGTTTTATCGGTACGGCGTATCAAGATGGACCAGCTAGATCCGAGCCTTGTTCAGCGCGTCAACACGAAGGTCTCGGCCGTCGTTGAGAGGTATCTGCTCGACGACCAGGACGTAAGGCCTAAGAACACGCGTAAGGCATACGGACCAAAGCAGGCCGAGTGGATGGTTAGTCAAGTTGGCCCGGCCCCCCTGTTACGGAAGCCTGGCAACTAACAGAGATGTAGGAATGGTGCAAATCTCGCTTCCCAGAGATCCCGCCTGGTTGGCCGGCGCAGTACCAGATAGGCAGAGCCCTGCCTGGCCACCTTGTTGACGAAGGGAAGCTGGTACTCTTCCTTGACGAAGAGATCGCCTCCCGCGCTCCAAAACGCGGCAAACGACGCAAGGCCGAGACGCAACGGCGGACGGCAGAAAGGAAGCGGAAGCTGAAGAAGCAAAAGTGGGACCAGAGCCGCCCATCGTCGTTGACCACTTGGGTAGAAACCGCCGATGTGATTGTTGTGGGTGGAGTTCCAGCTCAAGATCAAGAGGTGGAGTTGGAGTCGGAGCCGGAGTCGGATTCGGAGTCGGATCGCGATCACCTCGGTCCGGATTCGGCGAGCGGTACCTCCTCTGCCCTCAAGCTACAGTATAGTACTGTACGGCTCTATTCTAGCGCTATTATCAACCTCTATGCGCAACAAAAGACGAGTGGCGAGAACCCTGCTCCACATCCTAACGGTCTCGCAAAGAAGGCGCTTATGCGGCATATTCTCCGTGAAGCTGCTTGCCGCAGCCGTAAGGAGTGGGCGGACCGGATCCTGAACAAGATCAAGGATGGCTATTCGCCGGCGAAGATCCCCGAGCATACAGCGGCAGCCTGGCGATTTAGCGACGTAAGCAGCGGCTTCCGGACAAATGTTGACTTCCTTTTTGGCAACCATATGCTCCTACGGTCGAGCAACAGACTGCCCCTCGAGCTGGCCGACTGCTTTTGTCTGGATCTGCCGAAAGAGGGTATTAAGACGGAGGCAGGGGGTGTCCCGACTAAGGCCTTCGTCGTCCTTATGAACCAGGGGAAGACGAATCAACATGGCCGGGTCGAATACGGCTCTTGTTTACGGCATCGCAATCCAGAGTCCTGCCTTGTCGGCCAGCTTGCCTTTTGGTTTTTCTTCCGTTGGCAGGTCGAGAAGACTGCCGCCGAGCCGTTCCCGAATCTGAGCCGACCAGAGCTGTGGTACCGGACGAAGGTGCTACGCCGGAGCAAGGCAGATTATACAGGGCAGCTGTCGTACGCAACAGCCCACAAGTGGGCCTTGGACTTCTACAGCATGTGCGGCATCAATACAAGCAAGGCTACCCACGCACCAAGGGTGGCAGCAGCCCAAAACGCCGATATGGCAGGGGTGTCAGATGCGCAGATCCGACGCGCCGGCCGGTGGGAAAACGGCGACCAGATGACTGGCTGCTATATAACTACCTTGCCGTTTGAGTTCATGCGCGCCACGGCGGACTTCGAACCTGCGTGGGCTGGCAGCTATTATATACCAAGAGCAACGGTACAGCCAGACCCATGGTTACGCTCGCAGATATGGCCGCAACTCGACCACTGGCGGAATTTCGAGGCCGACGATAAGGCTACCGGCGCGTTCATCGAGCTGTTGCACTGGCTCCGAGACGTCCTATTGCAGGACGCTGTGTTCTTGATAGCAAAGTACCCAGGGCACCCAGTCTTCCAGGATCCATTGTTTTGGTCGCCCCAGTTCAGCGCCTTTTCTAGCAAGGTGAGGGAGGCCACGCAAGAGAGCTTTGAAGACGACCGCGGCACAGCTATTGAGAAGGTGATCCCAGAGGTCTCCGAGAAGCTCAGAACCCTGGCAGCTTATCAGCTCACCGTCGAGAAGGCGGTAGAAAGGCGGCATTCGAGCTAGTACAGGAGGTAAAGCAGTTGAAGGCCCAAGTCGCCGATATGTGTCGGATGGAATATCAGGTCGTCACCACCTTTTCCCCGGGGGGGAAGCTACACCGTACCGAGCAGTTCACACGCCAGCAGGGCTATGAGCCTTCCCTACTCTCACCGCCTCAGCCACAACGCCAGACACCATCAACGCTGTTAGCCGGACCCCCGCTTACAGCGACGGCGGTCTCTAGGCCAGAACATGGCTATCCTCCAGCTACAGTAGCTGCGGTCTCAAGCCCTACGATGCTCGGGGCACCAGCTATGACCGTTGCGCAACAACAACAAGGCGCGCCGCAGATCCGGTTCCCACGTACACTCCGTACCGTGGGGGACCTGTATCAGCTCTGGCGCCACGGGTTCGCTATGATGCCCTCTGTTGCCGAGCTGGAGAAGCGGTGGGGCTCACAATGGCGCCTCCGTAGCGAGAGGCAGCTCTTCTCTATGCGGAAGGTTGTTATGGATGAGGTTGTGAGGCTCGCTGGCGCTAAGGGGTGGCCGGAGGAGGACGCGGTCCAGGAGCTTGAAAGGCAGCGCGTAGAGGGCGGTAACCTCTCGCTTGACGCCTTCGCCAAGCAGCTGAAGGCGGCACGGAAGATATAGAAGGCTGCCATCTTATATATGTACAATACTAAAAAATAGATCACGAATCGCCTCCCTATATACGGTGTGCTCTAGTATGTGTGTATGTGTGTAGGTGTGTTAAGTAAATGCCGGACATAACGCCCCCCCTGAAAAGGCGGTCCCAAAGCCTTAACATGCAGATATCTATGCAACAACAGCGATGCATTGCCGATACCGCGGCGATGCGTCAATGATCAGACTGGACCTCTGCTCCTACCTACTTTTTTCGACTTTTAAGGGGTAACCTGGCTCTGCGCAGTCTCTTGAATTTTTTTCGGGCGGCCTGGCGGCCGCCCTGTAAAATAAAAGTGTTACAGTATTCAGAGGCGGGGCCGTCATCTGCGGGTCATCCGGTGGATCACCCACCAAAACTGCCCTGAGATAACAACCTTTCTTAGCTAGCTCTCTGATAATTCAGGAACAGTTACGTACACGTATGTACTGAGCTCTGGTAGTTAGGGAATTTCTCCATGACCTCCCAGCTAACTTTCTTCTTGACTGTGCAGAAGGGGGTCCGCGGATGTGGCGCAGGCTCGCTTGGTCGTTGGGCTCAAAGAAGCTCGTGAACGGCAGCGTGATAGCGTTCTGTTCCATCTCGTCAAACAGCTCCCTGACATCGGGCACCCACCCGCCTGCGGGAATCTCCGGCGGCCGTGGGAAAAACGGCCTGGCCACCTTGGGCATGTACAGCGCCGGCACCTTGAGCGCCTCCGCGGGCAGCCCGTAACCGGATACGGTCAGAGACGTGCCCGCCAGCACGGGGATGTGCTCGGACGAGCTGTTGCCCCCCCGCGGGAACACGTCCCAGAAGGAGGCGTCATGCTTGCCGCCGGAGTCGCGCTCGTCTCAGACGGGAACCCTCTGGTTCTTCTCGTCGGCGACTTGAACTGCGCCGTCAGCGACCAGATCCGACCGCAGACACCAGACCTTGTCGAGAGACGGCTTGCCGTGGCCGTGGCTGGCCACGTCGCCGAGCGCTACATAGCCGTCGGGGGCACAAGGCCGCCAGACTGAGCCGTCCATTGTGGCGCCCGTGTCCTCGTCGTTCCACACCATTTCGTAATCGATCGGGGCTTTGACAGAAAGGCGGTCCTGGCCCGGCTTGCGGTTTGCCGGGTCGTCGCCGACGAGGAAGACGGCCCACTCTACGGGTATTCAACTAGTGTCAGTCGGCTCTCGGCATCAATGTATGTTTCAGGGTGAGGCTCGACCTACGCCCGACGATATTATTGTCATTGCCGATCACGACGCTGCCGAGGGGCCGCATGCCATCATCCTCGATTATGAGGTGCCAAAGGGTGCCATTGCGTGCTGCCCCGCTGCCGCTGTCACTCCAGACGGGTATGAAGAAGTAAGTGAGGGTCACGCGGAGGTCTCCATAGGAGATAATCCTGTTTCCGTTGCCCACGGCGAGATTCATGCCACTCATGATGTCAGGGGCTACTCGAGAGGGCTGAACGAAGTCTCCCAGAGAGTCGTGAGGGTGAGCGGGTGGGTATACTGAAGTGAGTGGAGAGATATGAGCAATGCGTATCGAAGTCTGAGAGCTGGTACATGTAAGCATTGATCAGTTGCAGGAACTAGGAAGAGTCCAGCACTCCTTTATACCCTCCCAGTTTATACGCCCTTCCCACGGTACTCGCTTCGTACTTCCACAGACGTCGGACGGACAAGCACCGTTGCTGGCGTCAACTAGATGCATCGCAACGGCACGCCCCTGATGCAGACGTCAACCGTCAACCGTCACGGTGGGCATCCGCAAGACCAACACGACAAGCTCGAGCCACAGCGTGGGCATCAAGATGGAGTCCGAGGCCAACTACGCCCTGGCCAAGTGGTCCGTCAGCCTGAACTACCAGTTCACCTTTGCGCAGAGCAACTCCGTCGAGGAGCTCCAGGAGCGCACCATGACAAAGACCATCACGGTGGCGCCGCATACCATGGCCGTCGCGTGGGCCAAGAGGGTGGTAATCCAAGCGACTCGTTCCAATGGGACCAAGATCAACAACGACGTCTCGTTGATTGCTAACAACGAGATTGACGTGACGGAAATCCCGGTCAAGGCTTGATACACGAATGGTGAGGAGCCGGAAGTAATAGCTTTTGAGAATACTACCTTATTTTATGATGCCTCTGCTAAGGCCTCGGCTGCTTGCATAGGTAAGGTACTTGTACCTCGGTCCTGCTCGGCCCGAAGGTAAGTCCTACTACGTCTTTTGCGGTGTCTGCTGGGCATGTCCAGTCAGCTCCGACACGACATCTACTTAGGTATCGCTGTGATAGGATTCTTGGAAGGATCTCCGCCCTGATGTTCCTCACTCCCGCCTACTCGCTCCCAGGGGTCCAGCTTGAGCTGGTCCTTCATCTGCTCGCATATGAAGATTCTCTTCCCAGGTAACTGGAGTTTTTAAGTCCGTCTTATTGCACCGCTCTCGTTCCGGTCTTCGCTATGGCTTGGCCCAACTAACAAACACGCCAAGGTTGGATATGATGAGGAAATCTCGAATCACATCCAGTCGTGGCGTCCGTCAAAGTGATTTCTGATATTCACAACGGCAAATCTTTTCATATCAAGTCTCATAGATAGAGATTGAGAGCCCAGATTTCTGGTCAATGGTCAATTGGATCATATGGCGAGGCTGGCGTCGTACCACCCCGAAGAGTGTACTGGAAGCAGGCGGCAGCGCTCACCACAGCATGCAGTTCATACTCATCAGATAAGACAAAAACTAATACTGCTTCATGTCATCTAGCCAAGTCCATCCACTATCCATACCACAATACCTTACCACCCCTCGATCACGACTTCCAACACAGCCGCCCATTTTGCGTCGGAATCCACTCCAGCTGATCCCTAACCACCCAATCCTCGGACCCGACCGCTGTCGGCGCATAAAACAACCCCGTCGGATCATACTTTTTCTTGAGTGCATACAGCCGGGGGTAATGCTCGCCATAAAACGCCTGCTGGAAATCCGGCTCGTTGATGTCTCCCTCAGACATGTACGCGCCCGCGCCGGGCGACACGGCCCTCCACCGCGCCATCCAGTCGTTGGTCAGCGTCTCGCTGGCCTGCTGAATTTGCGCGTCGGTCGCGTTGGCCGGCCATGCCGCGGCCAGGATGAAGAAGCCCGCCGCCTTGCGCCAGGCCGGGTTGACGCTGTTGTTTTGGTTGGCGGCTGCGTTGGGCGCCGACCGGATGTTGTAACCGACGATCACGCCGCCCGCTTCGACGGCATAACGGACCGCGGCGAGGGTCTCGTTGCGCTTGGCGGGAAGGAAGTTCTCCCGGGGGAAGAGCCGCGAGGCCGCGTGGTTGTCGGTGCCGCCGACTTGTTCGGGCCCAAAGGTGCTCGTGTATGCCTGGTAGAAGCTCGAGTACTCGGTGATGACGGGCGTGACGGAGATGCCCAGGTCTGAAAGGTCGTTGAGGAAGGGCGTCACGAGGGAGGTGAACTGCGGCTTCGTCATGTTGGGTCCCCACATGGGCATCATGCTGAAGAGGTACTGGCCCGGGCCAATCGAGACGACCAGGAAGTAACCGTGCGCTCCGGCGTTGGTGAAGGCGTTGAAGTAGCTCATGTAAGCTCCAAGCGAGGCAAAGAAGGTGTCAGCAGTGACGTTGGGACCCGTGGTGTAGGCGTAGGTCATGGTTGTGTGAGGCATTTTAGGGTAAGCCCGGACGGTCACCGAAGTCACCACGCCGTACGTGCCTGGATTCTCGAGTCAACGCACATAATCAACTGACAGAAGGCTTAGGGTGTCAGGACTTACTGCCACCGCCACCGCGAAGAGCCCAATACAGATCAGGATACGAGTCCTGACTGGCAGTGACAAATCGCCCGTTGGGCAGCACCACCTCCATCGACAAAACCTGATCCGCTCCCATGCCAACGAGGGAGGACATGGGAGAGTGGCCACCGCCAGCAATATATCCGCCAGCAATGCCTACAGTCTAAGACGCCGTCAGCTCAAACCATCACCGATCGGCTTAGGGCAGGCTCGACTCACCCGGCATTCTCCACCAACGACGGTGACATTGTTCTGCTCAGCAGCTCTGTACACCTCCTCAGTCTCAACACCACTGCCCAGCTTGAAAGCAGGCCCTTTATATCCCCTGCAGTTGTAGTTGGCCAGAAACTGAATGTCCTTGAGCTTGTGCGTCCAGATTGACAGGGCGCCAGCACCAATCGACTTGTCGGCAAAGTCATGGCCCGTGTTCTTCACGACCAACCGAAGGTTGGCGTTGCGAGCAAAGTTGAGAGCAAGCTGGATATGCGACACCTTGGTGGCGGCCACCGAATAGGCCGCGTAACCGCCCAGCGTGCAGTTGCTACTGTTCGGGTCCTCGGTCGGCATGCACGTCCGGCCCTGGTAAAGAGGGAACATGGCGGACGCCGGGTCGTTGACGTGGAGATGCGGGTCGCCCCAGTTCTCCCTCACGTGCTGGCACGCTTCCGCGTTGTACTGATGCCAGTTGCTATAGCATGGCGCTGCGAGGGGCACCGTCTTGATGAGGGCTCCGCCGAGGGTCGCGTTGAAGCGGTCCCAGACTGTCTGGGATGGCCATGCGGTATCGCCGGGGAGCAGCTTGCAGGTTGCAGTGCTGCCCTTGGAGCTGGTGGTGTCACTATCGAACCCGAACAGCGAGGCATCGCTTTGGGCAATGTCGGCCTCGGTCAGCTGGGCATCCTCCCACGCAAAACGGGGGCAGCATGTTGACGGTACGGCTGCCGCGATGGTCTGGTCTGCGAACACAGCCAGGATGGCTGCGAGAGCCGTTGCTCGGAGAGTGGCTGCGGCCATGTCGACCCTTGAAATCTTCAAGTCGTGCTACAGATCTAGAAGGTTGGCGAATCCCTCCAGCCCGAGAGACTGGTAAGGGAGAAGGGGACATCGTATTTATCCCTCGCCATCTTCAGGCCCAGGGACATGAGGGGAAAGGAGCCGAGGGGCTGGGCCTGAGAATCCCCAGCTAATGCAGCTAGACACCCTTGGCCATGGCATGGTGTTGAGCAACTCACCATGCCGAAAATGCTACCCCAACCTTGTCAAGCCATGGCCGGAACGGGCGGTTGGCGCCGTCTCCCCGGCTCTCTCCCCTGCTCCCACGCAACTCGGTCTGGCGGCCGAGTGGGCAGGAACCATTCCGAGCCAATAGAGGGCCCTTGACTTCATGCAAGCCGAATGCAACGGCCGGGCTTGGATTCAACCAATGCAGCTCACCAGTTAGCCAGTATCCAAAGCGACAACAAAGCCAACGCATAAGAACAGGCTATGCACTGGCAGCATGTAACCGCATTACCGGGTATTGGGAGTGAGGGATGGGAAGAGGCATCAGACCCTCACAACTTTCGTCTATTGGGGTCATGCATGCCCAGTGCCCTTCACGCCCTTGGACTCTTGGAGTCTTCTGTTGGGGGACGGGAGAGAAGAGATTGCGTTTTTTTATCCGCATCTCCGAGCCGCCTTCCCTCCTCTCGGTGGAAAGGGAGAGTTGGTGCAAAGTGACTCAGCACTCAAACCTAATTAAGGGACCGGAAGGATGACATGCGTAGCGACCCTTAGCTTTGAAAGAGGCGCCTCTTGATGGTTGAGATATGCGTTTCGACATCGCTGGTTTATGATTCGGCATTTTCATATGAAGGGGATCGAGTTGAGCGCTGCTGCTTGGCTTTCCAACTCCTTGACGCCGTCTTGAACCTTTGTTTCGCGACGTCGCTTCTGTTCTGCTCTACGGGCGCGTATTCTGGCGAGGGGATCATCATATTCCTCGTCCTTGTCGTTGCCTGAGACTTTTTCCTTGCTTTCAGAGCTTTGCTGAGCTAGAGGGGGTAGCCGTGCTGTGTCGATCTTGAGAAATGGATTGCGGGCATCGCTGGGTTCGGATCTTGTCCTTGTGGGAGGTAATTGGGTTGATGCCCGCTTGGAGGGGAGTCTCAAATCTGGCTCCGGACGCCGTGGTTCAGGTTTGCGAGGCCAAAAGGGTTGAGCGTCAAGGTCGTCATCATCGTCCGAGTCCGGTGCTGGCTCAGACTCGAGTCGGACAGAGGGTACCCGATGCTTCCGTTCCGGCAGAGCCAGGCTGTTGCTGCGCACGAACCCAGCATTCAGACGTCTTCTCGACGGACTAACGTCCACGGCATCCCGATGACCTGAGCTCGCCCGTGCTCCCGTCATTACCGAGGTCAAAAGGACGGTTTGCTTCCTCGGACTGTCCATCAGCCCCTGGAGCAGCGTAGCAGGCCGATGAGACGGTTCCTTCTCGTCCCCAGTCATTGATCCGTTTCCAGCAGACGGCTTGCCCCATACTTTCGCGATACCCTTCCGCTGGCTGGAAGCTGTGTTGAGGGCTGCATGGCGCCGTTTCACGAGGTCCGTCATTTTGCCGGTGACGGGCCGCGATATGTTTTGGATGGCCTCGGCGTTCTGGGACTTGGCCAGGCCCTTGAGGCGCTGGTATTCGGCGGCGTGCAGGTGGCGCGTGAACTCCCCCGCCACGGCGAGGAACTCGTCCTCGACCATGCGATACTGGTCGTCATGGTCCATTCCCTCAATCATGAACCTATGAGGTATCAGTTGCTGTACGAGTCGGGGAGAAGAAGGGGGGAGGCGCAGGGGGGGAAGCAGAGCCGTACTCTTCCTTGTGTGGCTCAGGTGGCGGCGAGGTGGAGGGCGATCGAGCTGGCAGGTTAGCATGACCCAAGCAGCTACGCGAGACGCAGATGAGGAGAGTACGCACTGCCAGAGGTGAGCGCCAGACTCCGCCTCCGCTTCCTACTCAGGTTCGATGTCGGTTCAGATTTTGGTTTTGGTGTTGGTAGGACGGGATGAGACGGAGCTGGGTTCGCTAGACTCGCTGCGGGTTTGGGGCGCGAGGACGTCTGCTTCGTGGCCACGCCTCCGACTTTCCACGGCAGTTGTCGTGGCATCGCAATCAGAAGAGATCAGTGAGAGTAGCCTCCGTCTTAGGTTAGTGCAAGTTCCCGCCCAGACACGATGAGATTTATTTGAAATGATGATGACAATGAACCAATAACCAGCAAGGACAGTTGCAGCCTAAAGGTAGGAACTCGAGAACACCTCTCTGTAAAGTTATGTCAAAGATATCTCCGTCTTCTTGAGAGCCCGGCTTTGAAATGGGCATTGCGTGTGGTTGTGATGAGCGGTTTGTCTTTGTTGAGGTTTCGGAATATGATCAGAATTGGAAAGAACGTGGGGTTCTGAAGTGAAAGTTGCAATCACAAAATTTTCAACTAGTTGGGTATGCTGAAAAGTAGGATTGTGCATAGAAATTTCTCGTTATAAGATTTCAATTCAATTAAACTGTTTCAGTTGAGTCCCTTAAAGTTACTCAGTGAAATAGAAATTTAGATTCTACTAACTTATATTATCAGCGAGTGACCTATATCAGCAAGTGACTCATCTTAACAAACTTAGCAGGGTCTGCATCTAAATATATGATAAGAAATTTGATATCGCTCCTAACAATTTTCTTATCAAATCTTGGCCTGCAGCCCTGCTAAATTCGTTAAGCTAGGTCACTCGCTGATATAGATCTGTTGGAAAGCCAACAGCCACGATTCCACGGTGTTACGCTTTATGGGAGCCCTTGAGACAGTGAACTTTCGAGTGCCCGGGACCAGCCCAGAATCTGTCAATTGAGTGTTCTGTCCTCCTCCTTCTCCAAGTTGCCTGGGTGCCTCCTAGACCTTATGTAACAGCTGTTTATTACCCCTGACCAGGGTACGATACCGGCAACCCAGTTTCCGAGTTTCAAGTGCCTTCACTTCCAACAAGATCACTCGCTGATATAGGTTACTCGCTGATATAGGTCACTCGCTGATATAGGTCACTCGCTGATATAGGTCACTCGCTGATATAGGTCACTCGCTGATATAGGTCACTCGCTGAT